GTTCGGAATTAATTTTTGGGACAAAACCTTCGAATATGCAAAAAATCACTGGCGTCACGGAGCTATCAATTCGTTGAATTTACTGTACTCGGTACAGTACGGTATATTTACATTGATTTACCTTTGCGTTAAATAACGCGTCCGCTCTCACTAAAATATGAGTTGACGCATGTGCTCCGCGCGTTCAACGCAAAGGTAAACGTTTAAGTATATACCGATACACATTTCCATACACTTGCGGTAAACGATCAACCATCTCTGTGAAATTCCAGTTGGAAACTATGAAAAATGTGTCTTGTTTTTGTGTCTATACGAATTTCTTGCTCTAAAATGTGCCACCATAAACTATTTGTCCAATTCGGCTCTTGATAACGATTTGAATTCCATTTAAAATGGATTGCATTGCAGTTACATGTCAAAGTGTTGAAAGAAAAAAGTATTTAATTGGACAGGCAATAGATTTCAATTTGACTGTCCTCGTTTGTAAAGCCGAATAGAAAAACGCCCGACTTATATAAAATATAATTATCTTAATTTTTTTGGGCGTATTAAAAATAGAAACGAACAAGAGATGTATAAATAGACTTATAAGCGCAAAATAACTGGCCCACACTACCACTACCGAATGTCTGCATGCGACGGTGCCTCGCACTCTCTCATTTCAATGTTGTGCGAGAGAGTGAGATTGCTTGTGCCGTTTTCTTCATCAGGCAGAGATTACGCTTGGCTTGCACTCGATTGCATGACACGATTTTTGCTAAAGAAATTATTTAATCACGCGACACCGAAGGTCACGTATGCTAACCGATCGATTTATTTCTTTAATTATCTTTTCTCTTCTGGACGATTGCATTACGTTCATCATCGTATTGTGTGTATGTGTGTATTCCTTGTCTTATTTTTGTACACTGCAGTTTTTTTTTTGTCGTCGTTGAAAGTGAATAACAGTCTTTTGTTTTATTTTTTGTTTGTTTTCACAGCAACAAACTTTTGTCCGAACAAAAAAGTGAAAAAATTGCTAATCTTTGCATTTGCATCCATTTTGAACTGCTAATGTTGACATAAAAAGCTGATCAGCTGCAACTGATGTAGTAAACCTCAATTGATATGCAAGATTATCCACCGAAAAGTGTGTGGTTTTTGCGTATGATGGTCTTCGATACATGACTTTCTGTGTAAATGTCATAAAAAGCAAGGACATGACTAGTGACGGTTTCATTGTGAATGGCAGGCCAACGAGTGACAATCGAAATGGACAGACGGCTAATTTCCATGTTGAGCGCACGTAAACTAGATTGCAGTCTAGTTTTGAGGTCACTTAAAGGTCTCAACGAGTCAAAAGGTGGCGAACGATTTTATTTTCGTGGCATATTCGTTTCAATGTTTCGTGTTCAGGTGAAACGGAAGAATTCAATTTACTCGGCAATTTAATCTGACACCAAACGATAACCCAATTCGATGTATCCAAAAATTCGAAACTTACCTAATTAGAAAAGTGGAAGAAAAACCGAGCTGAGATAGTCTCTAGCTATTTTTAGTCGTTAAATGGCGTGAAATTGTTCTTCTTTTTCTTAAAAAGAACAAAAAAAATACTCGAATCTGGTCGCGATGTCAAGCGTTTTATACGTGGGATCTTAATTCCGCATGTTTTGCGTTGAATGCCAAAGATTCTTAATCGATCTTCCTATCTCTCTCTCCCTCTCTTGCAGATCTCCAAATACAGATCCAATGCACGCATGCGCGTTCAACAGAGACCGAAAGAAGAACGTTAAAATTTCTATCTTAAGCGGAAAATTGGGCTTTGTTTATTGTTCATTCATATCTTTTTCGTCGTCGTCGTTTTGTTTCTTTTGTACGATCTTTCAGTAGCACGGTTTCCGTTGTCATCAAAAGTTTGTCTGTGCTTCTTAGCTTGGCATTGTTTCGGTTTCAATCGCTCACGTCGTTCAACAAGACTGTTTTATTTTTCACTTCACATACAATGCTCCATTTATATCACTTTGTTTTTCTTTGGACGACAAAAACAATGGAACCATCGTCATCAAGTTCATTACGGAGATTTGTTGACAGGTTTTTGGAGCTCTATTTTTAGCGCCGTTTTTTAATCAATTCTAAAAGATGTGTGTTTATTTTATTTTTTTCAAAAGCAAAGATGAAAGTCACATAAATTGTTTTTGTTTTCTTACTTCGTTCAAATTTTAATCACTTGAACCTCGGAACGAATGAACGATCGACAGTTACGCAGAATCAAAATGTTCTTTTTTTCGCTTGATATAACTGGTTCCTTTTCACTTTTTCTATTCACAAGAGTTAATCTTTTATCTCGCTTTACGAGCGCAACGATCGTTATCGCTGAAAATGTGTTCTGTGTTCTATCTTCTCGAAAACGGAGCGATGCTGTAATTTCACCTTTTTTTTTGCTGTTTTCAGGCAACGTTTTTTATTTCGCTTTAAGAAAATTTCAACCAATATCACTTGTTTTCAATGGAATTCTCTCGATAGATTATGACCGGTATTTTAGAATGCAGATTATACGGATTCCTTTAGATTTTTTCAAACGATTTATTCTCGATGCAATTCACAATTGAATACATAACGGATTCGTTGGATTGTCACACAAACTTTAGAACAATGACACGGAAAAGTGAACGGCTCAGCCACACATGAAAAACCAAAGAAGAAAAAAATCTATCCCTCTAATATTCAACAAACAGAAGAAGAAAAAAGTTGCCGTGGGTCGCTACGTAGTTTGTGTCTAACCATTGAGTTGCCGCCAAAGACTAAATTATACTTTTGGTTGTGTGTACGTACGACGGCCAAACATTAAAAAAAACTCAACCGATTGCTTCTTCTTCTTCTCCTTATTTCGCTTTTCGTCGCCTCAAACCAGCACACAGCCGAGAAATAAAATACAAACGAACAACCAATCGTCGAAAGCAGTAGAAGAAGAAACAAAAATGAATAACAACAACACACTAAATTCATATAAGTTACACTACAGACATACAGACAGCGACCGCTTGCTTAGTGCTGTCACTGCCGCCGCCGTTGCTAATATCTTATATTCATGCCTTTGTGTGCATGGCCGCTTGTTTGCACTGTGTGTTTTATGCACAAACAAACGCTTCGGTATTGGTTATTATGAGACAGCGCTTGATTTTAGGCACACACAAAAAAAGCAAGAAGAAATGAAGGGAAAAAAACACAAACGACTGGACGAAAAAAAAAAAAAACGTTTTGGCAGAAGATCGAGCGAGAGAACGACGCAATTTGAAGAAGGTACACAGCAACACACGTAGGCTATGATATACTTGACTCAAGAACTCACTACATCAAAAATCAGATGAACCATTGGACGTTGCATATTCAATGCGAGAAAAATTATATTCCATTAAATGGAAAGATTAATGATTTTCATAGCCCGAATCAAGTGATTATCGCATCTATTTGCGGCGGTATCGTTGAGCTTATGATGAAGACGATAAGAATGGATCGTTCGTTTTCAGCTCTTGATCGTGAAGAATCACGAATAATGATGATCTTTTTTTAAAGCCAACGATTTTCACAACCATCAAATTAACATTTTCAACTTTAGAATGGGTGACTCAGAAGATCAGTCTCTGCCAAAAACGATAGGCTCAACCAAAATTATCTTAGCAATGCATATTGTAATGCATCGATTTTAGCCTAATCTATACTCTACAGACATTGGCAGACTCAAATTTTTCAATTGTCATATAACATTTGAACATTTTCGATTTACATTCAAATATTCTCTGCCATTGTCATACTGTATCCACTATTTTTCAACAATCGTTGCTTGTATCTCATTTAAAATTCATTACTTTTGATTCATGACTTAGAAATGTGTTAATGGCAAAGATCAGTAAATATATTGCATGCATTTCCAATTATTGATTGAAATTTGTGTCGGGCGCTTGAACAGTCTGCTTTGAATTGTTGCATGTAGAATCTCTTTTGGATGGTAACAAAGGTGGTAACTTCGTTTCGAATCAATTGTGAATATCGGCAAATCGTGTTGTCAAAAAAAAAATTCATTCATATGAGGCTCTGAATCGTTTACAACACCCATTTTTAGCTAGGAAGGTGCAGCAAAACGAATTATTTGCATTTCGAGTTCCATTCCAGACGATGCGTCTGAATCGTTAGTATCGTCATTTGCGCTGGTGCCAAGAGGTGTGTTCGATGACAAATGAATGTACAATTCATATCAGACACTTTCTTAGAAAAAACTTAAGAATTGTAAATGGAAGTTGAGTGCTGTTTGAAGTAAACATTTCTAATATGCTCAATAAATATTGTTCAAATGAAACGGTCAAATCCAGTGCCAGAAACAACGTTATTCGATCGGTTTCGTTGAGTTAAAAAGTTGTTTAGCGAAATCATCTAAGTGTTTTTCTGTTGTTCTCGCTCTAGACAATTACAGAATCCAAACACGTCTTCTCTTTGACCAAAATTTTAATACCTTTGCCGTTTCACATATGATGGGATCGTTGTTCGAGATAAGATGAAACAAAAAACGGTCTTTTGACCATCGACCGTTGAGCATTATTTGAAACCGTTTGTGTTCGCAGGCCGAAAAAAATCAAATATTGCTGATTTTCACTTGGCACCATGGTGCAATGCATTGAATAAGTCATTTAAATGAATACAAATTATGATCAATAAGCAAGTATAACAACAGTCATTTCGAACCGGTTTGTCCGGGCGATGTTTGGCAATAAATTTGACAGCATTAAGGATATAATTTCTGACATCGAAAATGTTTCATTATTCGCTGCACACTAGTTACAGCAAAAAAACGCTCTTGCCTTTAGAGCTCACTCACCGTTCATTGTGTGTGTGTGTGTGTGTGTGTGCATTGAGTGTCCAAGTGCAAATATTTCAAAGATCGCTGCTGATACTGAAGAAAATTATGAGTGTTTGATTTGCGTTACGCCCACATTGAACAGCTGTTCAAAGTGTTGCAGTAACCCGAAATACACACGCATTACGTAACCGCGCTTGATGTACGATGCATATACAATACACCCAGGCATGAAATTCTCTTAACAATCAATTCACATATTTCTTCTTCTGCTCGAAAATTAGGTTCGTACATACTCAAAGCCACCAGACACAAACAAGTCTGCATTGAAATTGGCGTCATCTTTTTTTTTGGTGGTGGCGGCAGCGGGGACGAAAAAGAAGAAGTATAGCTGTGCCATTGATGTCGCATCATTTTATTTGCACTCAGCTTAAAAGTGCCAAAATGCACTGCGGTTCGCCAATTCTGAATCCAGATTTATGTACACATAATAAATGAAATTGAGACAAAAATATGAGAATTTATCCCAAAACTGATTGAAATTAAAGAGCAATTAGTTGAACATTAATTTTGACACGGACACATTTTATTTTACATAATCTCAGCCATTGTGTATGCGATCATGCAAAGCATGTACGTTGTCGCGCGAATCGAAGCGGTATAATATTAAACATAATCACCATTTAAATATACTTTGGAAACGATTAAAGAAATGCATGAAAAATGTGTACAAGTTTCCTCGTGCGCTATTTTTCACCTTTTCGTAAATACTTGCGAGATTAATCGACAATTGTGACGACGAAAAGATCAACATTCATTAATCTCATTATGAATAGACGGACATATGTGAAATCGAAATCCATACACTAAGTGTATTTTACATGTTCAAACTAGGAAAATAGATCGCACAAGTCAAGTAATTATGACTTCAATCAAAATTAGAGTGGGGCTTGAAAGCAATTTCCGGCATTTGTCTCTGTGTTTGAATTTCAGATCGAATGGTCAATATAGAGTAGAAGATGGTCGTGGTTGCCCAAAACTGTGTCGGTTGTTTTTCACATTTATAAACATATTGATCTGATGGTAAATTTTAACAAACCAATGTACATCAAGTTGATTAATAGCCTGCTTCTACGATTGTTTGGTTGTTTTGCAGATGTTATTGTTATTACTGCACTGACATTTCAAAAATGCTGATTAGTTCAAATTATTCTCTGGTAATAAAAATCAATGCTGAACTTTTGATTTCGTTCTACTTAACAAAGTTCACCGTTCTTGGTAAGAAAAAGAATCAGTCTAGACTCAAGATAAGTAACTACATGAATAAGCATTTGTGAACAAATTATGTAGAAACCAAATGCTTCGATTAGAACTGTAATAATTCAAATTCAAGTTTGAATCACGTTTCATTCATCAGAAGAGCATTTTGCATTACAATTATAAATCGAAAACACTTGGAGTGTTTGGAGTACCTAGTTTTGGTAAAATACAACTCATGTACACTAATTTTTCTGACTATTTCGCTAGTCAAATAATCGCATTCATCTCTTTTTCACCATAACAAGACATTTGAGTCGTACTCAATTTTATGTGTTTGAACTTTGAATGTTCAATCTTGAAAAAGAGAAGAAAACTCATTATATAATGCAATTCGAGCGCCGAAATAAAATCGTTCTTCTTAGATATAGATGATATGTTTGCCTGGTATTTTTTGCTCACCCTTTGAATTGAAGTGATTCTTACAGCGTCTCATTTGGTTTCTCGTTAAAACTAAATGCAGCAATCGGCTAAAGTTAAAGTTTTAGATATGCCAATACACATAATTAATCTGAATATTGTTGGCAACACGGAGAGCTCCAGATGAAATGGTTAAACAACACAATAATGTATGAATCTATCAAAGGTTCATTGTTGGGAGTATTGTGCGGCTCTCAACTGATTTGTGCAACCTGGCATTTGGAATTTTCCTTGGAAATCGTAAAACTTCTCGAAGTGAAAGTAAATAATAAAAGAGTTTAGTTTAAAAATCGATAGCATAACGATCGCGAAAAGTAACGGCAAAGAGTATCACTTGACATTTTGCTTGAGATGAAGAGAAAGAAGAAGAAGAAGAAGAAAAAGACCATCTATCAACAGAAGCGCTTGATGAGTACGAGCAGCGGTTTCAATAGCGGCGGCACAGTGCATTATGATGCAGAAAGCGATAAGAGAATTTCCGCATATTTTCTTTGTGAAATTTGTAGACAAAAAAAAAAAACAACAAGCAACAAGAAAAGAGATCTACGAAATTTTGTGCGATTCGTTTCGGTTATGTTCAATCATCGGAGTGTCGACGCTCCGTGTGGCAGAGAAACACAGCGCTGGCTCTGCCAAAGGTGAAAATACGCATTTCAACGGTGAAACAAAAAGAAACGAAAAATAGCATTTCCAACCATTTAAATACCACAGCGTTTGGAATATCGTAGACGATGGATGATGACGACGGTCGCCGGCTCGATCATTTGCTCGCGCAGACCAAACGAAAATTACACTACAAACGGCGGGTTGCTGCATTCAAATGTGATATTTTAGGCAAAATACTTCGCATGCATTGAATTGATAACTTGGAATGGGCGAAGAAAAAAACACTCTTTGATTTGAACACGAAATTTTTTTCAATTAAGCACCTGTCATTTGGAGATAGAGACGCTGTGCCATGCAATCGTTTAGTAACAAATATTCCGGATCGCAGAGCATATAGCACCACACGACGATCTGTTTTGTATTTGAAACGACAACGACGACGACAAAGACGACGACGACAACAAGACTCACATTTTACTTTCACAAACATTATTTTATTAAAATGCATTTTCCGTCACATTTATTCGCCGTTTGTTGATGCACACAATTGTGTCTGCATGCATTCAACGACTTCAAACTGAATAACGCGACCAATTTGAACGGGAAAACAGCTGAAAAAATATGAGAAAATTCGTAGAAATAGACAGACACACGAAAAATAAGCATACATACATAGAAAGAGAGAACGACGAAATGAAAAAAAAAAAACACTCAAATTCACCGATAATTTGAATTGAATACGTGATCGCGTTGCATAGCATACCGCTACATATCGTGTTGCCGCTACCGCTGCTCAATTTACATTCGATGGTGGGCTTTGAAGCGATAAAATGACTTCTAGTGCATTTTATTAGCATCAAGGTTAATGGGCACACCGTGAACACCAGCACGTACCAACGTGATCATGCTCGTTTTCGTCGAACGATTATATAAGCAAGGTATGTTGCAAGCACTTCACAGAATCGACTGTTTGATATGTACCGTTACCAACGATTTTTCTTCTTCATTTACATTTGGCTCATACTTGAGATTATTTCGAGTCGTCAGATCATATCAAACAAATGGACTTTGAAAGTTTTTACTCGCTGGTATATGTATAACGAATCTGGATCTATATGATAAAGCTAGGTTTGATACATATTATCGTGTAAAGAACTGAAGTCTGTTTGCTGTGTGGATTCTTGAAATTCTCGTGAATTTTAGTTTTTGACGAAAAACTAACAAAATGTTCGTGATTCGACGATTTTTTTCTCACAAATTTGATTGCAATTCATTCTGCTGGGAATTCCCACAAACTAAGAAACACACATTTCCTTGAGAGTTTGGTATTTTCGGCCTTTGAATTCTGTTTAAATCCAATTGACGCAAATTATACGTATTGACACTTGAAAGAATAACAAAAACCAATGCGGTTTGAAGCAGATCAACGGCTTGTGGGAGATAAAAATTGTGGCCTCGGCAGCGTTTTTTACGAGTTAACATAAGTTTAAGGCCGACTAATTTCATAGAAAAAATCTCCAATAACTTGAGTACTGTGTAACTTTCATCTACGCGAGAATTTCCAGTTGAAAATTTCTTATCAAACTAAATGTTAAAATGAATTGTTGATTTTTCTGTCAATATTCTAAGCAAAGCTGTTTATTTATATTCAGAACGAAAATAGTATGCAAATACTTCAAAAGTTTTAGTGTGAAATACTCATGCATTTCACTTTCGTTGGGTACAACAATCGAAATGAAAACAATTTTTATATACTCAGTACATTCGATCGATGAATAATGTTTATAAGTGTAAAAACGTGTGTAATTCATCAAATCTGATGAGCATATAAAATGAAATATTCGATATGGTCGTCGACTATTATCTGGTTCAGTGAAGTAGGCTTCGGAAAAAGATGAGGCATGAATGAACGCATGCAAATGAAATGGAGAATTGCAACCGCGAAACACGGAGATTCAAAATGGATTCATGGAAAAATGAGCGCACAACTGAAGAATCTTACACGCAACAATGCATTGAACGCAGGCTGAAGTTGACTGAAATTTGCCATAAATTAAAAGATGATAGTGAGAAGAACCGACCAAGTTTGATGTAAGCCGAGTATTAGAAATGCATGAAAAAGAATAATTATTCGAAAAAAATGCGTTAAAAATACGCTAAACGGCAAGCAATTAGCAAATAATTGCCCGGCGACATTGAAAAATGCCCATAATCGTACTTCAGCGAAGTTGTAAACACAATTTTGAAGGCCAAAAAAAGTCGTTAAGAAAAAAGAGCGAGGCGTTTATAGCTCAACAAAAGCCATTGAACAGAATATAAAAAAAAAACCAGATAAATAAAGAAATGAAAGAATGGGCGACTTCATAACGGAATTTCATGGAATTTTTGGTTGGATTATTCGCGTTTACGATGGCTTCATCGAAAAATGAAACGAGTGAGACGGAATCGCCCAATATTTGCATAATTTCGGAGATGTGAAATTGATCTCGTCTGGTCGACGCTTGATCATCAACAGAAAAATCTTATGCAAACACATTTATTTTTAACGCACTCATGAGTTCATTAACACAAATCCACACTGCGATAGCAAGCGCGAAATATAGTTAACCCGCAGTAAAACACAGCTTTATAGGCACATCGCACACATTTTTATTATTGATTTAACGCCGGTGAACCAACGGCAAATATAAACCTAAAGCAAGCGTTCGCGCATACTCTGCTTACTTGTTGTGGACAAAATCCATGACATCTAAATATATGAAAAAAGAAATTACGTTCATTATCTACTGTGTGCGATGCTAAAATGTAATGAGCAGAAAGACACGGTTTTCTCTCTCTCTCTCTGTCTCTCTGTCTAGATCGGGTTTATTTGGTTCAGCAAACAAAGGTTGATTGATTGTTTTTTTTTTTAAACAGTCAAAAGTGATAAATGGTCAAACCCGGGCAGCACCATGTTGTTCGTTTGGACTATAAAATTCGTAATTAATTAAAATATCGTTAGAGGCACAGAGAGACATACACGTGTTATGTAACCGAATTGAGTGAGAAGCTGCATGTCATGTTCACAACCATGTGATGATGAAGGAAAAGAAAATACGTCAACAGAAGAGAAGAAGAAGATGAAGACGAAAAACCGGTATCCGGAAAGATTTCAAGCAGCAGCGAACCCGCTTTCCGTCGTCTTCATCGTCGTTTCCACGAACATTTGTCGCATTCTTGAATACGGTGTGTGTGTGTTTTTTTTTTTGGTTTCGTTTACGACCTAATAATTACTTACACTTTTATGGTGTTTCAAATAAGACCCGCAGCGTTCCATACAAACATACATACCGTTCGATCGTTATCATGTTTTTGTTTCGTTTATGAGAGAAAAAAATGTGAAGCGAAACCGATTTGTTTTGCCAAGTCTTGAGCCGGACAAGCGATGAAGAAAGAAAAAAACATCACCAAACACAAAAGAATTTTGCAAATGTCGAACAAAATCGAGGAATATATGAAATTCCATTATTTATTTCATTTATTCAAGTAGCGACCATTGCGAATCGGATTAATGGATTAGCACATTTTGCCGCTGTTGCCGTTGCGGTTTCTCTCGTACGTTGAGACAAATGAGCATTTGTTTTTCGTAAAATTAATCTTGGCGATGCTTCTATTTTAAAAATTAGCCTCATGGTGTGGCGGCGATCAGAAAGACTTCGATTATGCCTGTTATTAAATGATCATGAATAACGGATATTTTGAATTTTATGCAAATGCTGAATGATCGAAACTGGCCTACGAAACTTCAATTCGATTTTACATAATATGATTGATGGGCTACTTCCGAATTAGAGCCGTCCACGAGCGATTCGAGGCGTAAGGTGCAAGGTGCGGCTTAATTATTCAAACTATAGTTTGTATATTTATATATTTTTCTCTCTCGAAATAAATTTCTGCGGTGCCCAAATCATATCATCACAGTTCAAAGGCATGCATACTAATTTTATTTTGTACTTGGCACCTTGTTTTTCCATATAATATCAAAATTTAAAGAAAACCGTAGTATATTTGGTTTCGTAACATTGTTTTATTCGTGCTTGAAGTTAATTAATTAGCATCAAGTATGTGCGACGCTACAAAGCCATAAAACCCTTTTAGCCCATGGTAAAAAAAATTTAAAATCATCCAATGCTTTGCTTTTATCTATTCGCCCATTCAGTGTTACGTTCCAGAATGATGTTCGGCCAGATTTCGGTTCGACTTGAACCAAAAAATCGGTTTCCGGCAAATACGATGGAAAATTCTCCTCATCGATACGAAAGTGTTGCAGATAGTAGCGTCCTTTTCGGATTGGACATGAAGTGAACCACGTTCCATTTTTCAATATTTTCGAAAAAGCCACCTTAAGCAGAGGATCCACCTTTTTTGATGCCATCAATTGGCACAAGTTCATGGTTTTGTTGAATATTTCCACTGAATCCTCTGTATCGGTGTCCGGGTTGAACGTTGAATTCGAACTCAAATAAACGCGAATCTTTTCAACGAGACAAAGCAAATGGATATGGAAATTCATTGAATAAATGATATTGAATAATAAAATTACCTTCGGATGGTTAACTGTTTTCAAAATGTTCAAGTAGAAATCGAGTGTAGAATCGCCGTTTAATTCTTTGATTTCAGCATCCAACTGGGCCCAATCTGGATGCGTCGACACCGTGACATTGTCAAATTGCACTCTGAAACTTCGCTATGTACAAAATGTGAATAAAATGAGTTGATTTGATTTATTTTTACAGCATTGGCAATAGAGCAAGCAACTAATAAAAATGAAAATCATCATAAAAAGCAGCGGGGAAAAAAGCAAATGTTGCTGTCATAAAAGAAAAATTACCCAAGCCCATGCTAATGGAAAATGGCACAATAAAACTGCTGTGGTACTGAGAAAAATTAATGAAACCATTTTTTTCCACTTCCGATGCATGCACCAATCTAATTAATGATGAAAATGTCAATAAACTAAATATTCGTTTAAGCACGCTGGGGATATGGGTCTTGTTATATTTATATACTGGATGGTGATTTTATTTTAAATGCAAACTGAAAAATCTCTTAATCTTCAATTATAAAAAAAAAAAATGTTAATTTTCAAGTATTAAAATGGAAAAATATCTATCCCCCTCGAAAAAAAGACTCGGAAATAGTTAAAAGGTGTGAGTTTATTATTATTTTTATTATTTTTCCTCTTTTTTTTTACTAATTTTTCCAATTTTGTCAACTTTTTGTACTTTTGCATAAGGGACTTATATGGTATTTAATAGGCGTGAACATCGATGTCAGCGGATAAACTGTGCTGTTTGTATATGGCCATTTGGGTGAATTACACACTGAATGAATTGATGTGCCATTTTCGAAAAGTGCCAATTAAAAATTACGACTGCATAAAAATGTATAGTCATTTTGGATAATTGGACTTTAATTACCTTGGCGCATGTGTTTGTACCAAAATGTGTGGTGGTTTAACTTCCATCAAATGGCCGGTCGTTAATCCATACGATCGACAATTTGAAATTTATCCGAAACAATTATTTGCGATTGAAAATGATTATATGTGGATACTTTCGAAACAAATTTGAGTTTCGATAAAATCGAATTATTATCTTAATACAGATGAATTTTTTGAGGAAGTAAAAAAAATAAGTACATTAAAAAAATTTCCGTTTATTTTGCATTTCAAAACGTTTATTTCTAAATAAATTGAATCCACATCCACATGGATCAAAAAAGAAAAGTGTATGTGAAAAAAAAAACTCTCGTTGACGATGTAAATAAGGACATTAAAAAAAACTAAAGTGTTAACACAAAATCAGACATGTGAAACTAACACAAGCACTCTAAGTAGTCTTAACGACAACAAATACAAATAATATTTCCGAAAATGTGAATAATCATGTGAAAAAAAAACAGTACATTTGTTATGTTAATTCTATGTAATATTGCTTTTTTTCGCATCGTTTTCCCTTATTCTATCTATTACTGGGACTTAACAGGTAACAAACGCTATATGTTTTGTTTCCTTCTTTGTCAATCAGTAAAAAAAATCTCACAATGACCAGATTATCGGCTGGTTTGTGATTATCCATGATTGTGTTACAATTGGTTTTAATTGTAGTTCAGTCTACTGTTCCGATCGTTAGAATTTATGTGGCATTATGTGATGTACTGCTTCATTCATACGGACCAATTCAGGGTTTTATAATTCGCCGTCGATGGTATGAATGATAAATCTGAATGTGAATGACAAAAAAATGGAATTTTAGCATAAAATTGATTACACACTCTTTCAAAATCAAAACGGGAAAATTAATAGTAAATTCGGCAATTCGACGAATTACCGAACGTTGTTTGTGTTTCCGGCAAATCGTCAAATTACCGACATTATATTCATCAATTTATACAATAATTGTCCATATCAAATCAACAATTACACCAAATAATTATTCATCATTGACCTTAATAATTATTTAAATAGTATTAAATTCCGCATATGCACTCACCGCGTATCGAAACTCCGATTATGTTGATATTTTCTAGTCGTTTCCAATTCAAGTTGCGCAGTCCTTCATTGGAAACTTTGCAGTTTTTCAAGCAAATATCCCGTAAACTTTGCATCAAAGTGCAATCGAAGAGTTCCTCCAGCCATTTGTTGGTGATCTGAAACGAAAAAATCCGCAATTATTGAGTGAAAAATGTTCAAAATTGTTAAATTAATCCGTTTAATTCGGTCGATGCTATTTACCCCGGTGTTAGCCAAGTTCAGATCGTTCAATTGCATTGATCTTAGTGCGTCGCTGGATTTATCAGTCACATTTCGGCAGTCATTTAGCCACAAACTTTCGAGGTGCAAACAACATTGACCAATCAGCTCAACAATTTTGTCGTTTACTTTGTCTGAATCGGCAATTTGTAGGGCTCTCAAATTCTTCAAACCTTTTAAACATTTTACCAGTCCATCGGTGGAAATGGCCAACATTTTATTTTTGTCTTTGCTGTCAAAGATGCGTAGCTCTTGCAAATATTTGCAACGTTCTCCGATACATTCGAGCATTCTGTCGGTTACAACGGACGATCGAAACGATAATTGTGTCACATTTGGCGTTAATAATTGGATAAATGTCGTTTCATTTGTGAAGCCAATCGATAGTTTCATGTTCAACTGCAGTAAATCAGTTTTGATGGTTGATGGCAATTGCGATAGGTCCCAGTCATCACAGTTACATTGATCAATATTGCGGGCAATAACACGAATACACCTGCAATTGTTTGCATATAAATGAAATATGTCAAATTTGGGAACTAGTTTTCAAAGACTTACAATCGATATAAAGTTGGGATGGTGTGTTTCCGCATCTGTAACATGCAGTCATCGCCCATAAAACATTTCAAATCATTTTGGAAATGACCCGAATGCACTTTTGACTTCAACATTTTCGGTTTTGATATCAATGATGTCCAACGATTAAATGAATAACATCATTTCTCGCTGCACACACTTACTTGAATCAATCTGTATACTTAGTAATAGTAATTTGTACAGTAATTTTGAAACGTGTCTTGACGACGAACTTTCACTGACGTGTTGCAAACGTTATTCGGATTTTTTTTTTTTTTTTAATTATTTTCGAAATATTATCCAATTCCACTACTGAATAGCTCAATATCAATTCCGTTCTCTCGTAAAAATTTTATTTCTTGAATATCGAAAGGAGACAATTCTCAACTCTCAATCGCGTTTGCTTTGTTTATTTTCATTTGTTTGGTTGTAAATGCCATTTGTCAAATGTCAAACGCGCTTGTTTTGACAATTTACATCAAAACAAATCCACTTCGAAATTTGGTTTGAATTTTTCGAAAAACATATGGTCGAGTAGATAATTTGTACACAGCACATTTGTTTTTCATGAAAAATTGACTGAAAAATAGGAATAACAATTTAACAACAGATTTGAGTGCATTTTTATTTAAAATTATGCAATCTTTTTAATAACAACCAATTAAAAATGAAAATAAGGTAATTCAAATAAAACGTAACGAAATTCCATTCGTTTTTCGGTTTCGAAAGCAGAGTATTGTTCTACAATTTATTTGATAAAAAAAAATTGCTATTCAAATTAAATGTTTGAAGTCGGTGATAGACAAGGAACTGATTCGATACGAACACCGCCGTCTTTTGTTCCAATTGAAAATGGAAAACTTTCCATTCCATTGCACGCGGCTGCATATTCGCCCTCTTGATTCACCACAATAATTCCACCAAAGAATTTCGGATGGAATTTTTGTATGCGCTGAAACGCCGATTGAGCAGCCTTCTTTGGACTGTAGCCATGGCGTAGGCCCTCAACAGCCACAAACGATGGCAGAAATCGCATCATTACATCTCCGTCACCAGTTGCTGCTGCGGCACCAATTCCGTTTTCTGCATACGCACCCGAACCTTGAACAGAAATGTTTATATTCAGCCTGGCATTAATATAATCAAAAATAAAAACAAGAACAGATTTTTACCGGGAATCGGGCTGTCTCCCACGCGCCTAAAATTAAGACATTAGAGAGATTATTGAGAGGAACACTTATATGTGGAGTGCTTCAAGGTTTAATAGCAAAAATTGTACTTATCACAATTGAAATCCATACCCTGGTATTTTATAACGTGCCCCGTTGGTCGATGTTCCGGCTGCGATGTCACCGTTGGAGTCGATTGCAATCATTCCGATTGTGTCATGGTTTTTACTATTGAATTCGTTGCTATAGAGGCTACTGTAAACGCTATTCGCTTCGGTGGGTTCGTATGGACCACAAAATCTCGTTGGATCTGGTTCTACATTTGTCCAAAAGTTTGGTTGACATCGGTTCGATTTCCATTGTTTCCAAAGATCTTGTGTTTTCTCCGTTGTCAACGATTCATTTTTGAAGCCCATCATTATGGCAAAATCAGTGGCACCTTCACCAACCAACAAGGTGTGCTGCGTATTTTCTAGAACACGGCGTGCAACACCGATTGCATTTTTGATGTTCCGCATTGAACCAACAGCACCAATGCTCATCGTCTTGCTGTACGCGGACAATATCGATTAAATGCGTAATTAATAATTCAAAGTAATTATGCATGCAATGGAAAATTACCCATCGATAAGTAAAGCATCGAGCGCAACGTCTGCCTTTTCGTCTGGACTGCCACCATAGCCAACTGTTCCGTCACATCGTTCGCGCTCGCATACTGCACATCCCTCAACAACTGCATCGATTGCAGTTCGTTCCGATATTTGTATCACTTCCCATGCTGTGAAATGTTCGAAAATTTGATTCGAAATGTAAATGAAGAAACACAATGAGACAGCCTTTCCGGTTGAATGGATCCAATCAAAATCAAATAATTAATGTAACCAAATTTTTGCTATTTACCTTTAGCAGTTGCCGATGAAAAATTCCATGTATTTATTACGATCGGAACATTTTTACATTCAACAAATAGAACGAAATTAAACAACGCTATTAAAACGAATTGTTTCATTTGAATGGAATATAATAGGGCAGTGAATAGAGGCGAATCAAAGGGGAGTGCACCTTTGTTTACTTGTATCGTCCGATTTTGTGATTATTTTGATATGATGATGAAGTGGGAATCGTTGGTACTACTGACAACATTCGAAACTGACACTTCAGTCGAATTCGAAAATGAGACAGCTGTCAAAGCAACGATGCGAAGTAAAGAAACTGCGAAATCAAAACATTACACGCTGTGGTTTTCGTACCATTTTCCTCTATTTTGGATGAAATTCAATGAATAAACTCTTTGTTTATTAATTAGAAAGGACAAGTGAAACGGTGAATAATAAAGCGAAACATACATCAAACACATTGGAGCTTCAAAGAAAAATATAGACAAGAACAGAGGTAACTCATATTGAATATGAGCAATGTGCTCTCTTAGAATGTTTTACGAGAAAAATCTGAAGAATTTTTTATTCCAAAATTACCAGAATGAATTACCATGCCGATCAATTATTATGAGATTTTAAACTGTCATCCGTCGGACACAATCGAAGAAATAAAAAAATCATATCAAGCTTTGGTCTTGAAACATCATCCAGACAAACAAAACACCACCGGCGATCGAAATGTTTTGCAACTATTTTATCAAATAGATGAAGCATGGAAGATGCTAAGGGATCCAGAACAGCGAAAAAAGTACGATGCCGAAATGCAACAGCACAGATTCAACGATGAGCCAATTGTTTATGCAAAAATCTATCGAAAGGATTTCGAATTTGATGCCGATTCACAGAGCAATCTGTATCCATGCCGATGTGGAGGATATTTTGTTCTACCCGACGATTGCATCGAATCAAGTGACTGTGATAATGGCGTAGCTGATTCATCGATAGATGAAAATTGCGGAGAGAATGATGAAGTATACATTGAATGTGACGAATGTTCGTTTGTCGTGCAATTGCTTAGAAATCAAAACACCAACAGATGACCAATAAAAACAATTGTTTTTTTCTTTATTTTAACCAGTATTTTTACACAAGTTCAAATCTACGATTGAATTACAACCATAAATTGAATATGGTTGCAAATATGTCAACTTTGTAATATTTTCTCGAAAATTTATTCTAAAAAGTTATTTTCCAACAATTTCGTGCATTAATGAATGATTCCGAAAACCGAAAAAGTATTTGGATAAGTCGAATCTGCATTGCTGGATTTGCCATAAGCGCCATCTGTAGTTGTTTTCGCCGAATATGTCATTGTCAGAAAACATTGTTTGTAATCAACATAAACATATAACACAAAAATAAAAGTTAAATTTCCTATTTCAACATCAACATAAAAATCTGAATTGTTATTCAAAAAAAAAAAAAAACCGAAAAGTTTAAATGACAACGTGATTCGAGTGCAGCATTCCAATTGTATCGGCATTGAAAAGTTTCGTATTTGATAAAATCAATAAACAATTGGATTTGATTTCCTGTGAATTGAGAGGAAATGATTGATACACAATGGGTAGATGAGTCTTGACTTAGCCTTCATACGTCGAATTATTTCTTCATCACAGGCTTCCGTCATAACAATGTATTCAGAGGGTTACAAATATTGGTTGGCCTACAAAAAAAATAATACCAGGTAAGTGGGCAGTAAAGTGTGGCATTCAATCACCCACTTGTTCTCATTCCATTCCATTCCTTAGTTATTACCGATGTTCGCGCTACAAAACCGGGTGCCCAGGTCGTTGTGTTGTCGAAGGCTCAAAAATTCGAGTATGCACAGAGCATAATCACAATCATCCGCCGGAACCCGATCGTGTGCTTGTTGACAAGTTTCGTAAGGTGCTAACGAATCGTGCTGCAGTCGAGACAAAGGATCTGTATACCATATACTGGGAGGAAGCAAGCCAACGACATTCAGATGCGGCTCTGCTGTATACATTCAGTGGTGCCGAGTCTGCTATGAGAAAAGCACGCCGATATAAGCAATTGCCTCAAGAACTGAATAATGTACAAGATTTGGATAATATTCTTAGCAACACGAATATGTTTCGTATTCACAGCGGATCGCGTCGTGACCCATTCTACCAGACAACACTCACACTCAACGATGACAGTGTGTGCGTGATTTTTATGCATATGAATACCATCGAAACAATTGGCCACATCGAAGAAATCCACATAAATGATGCGATCAACGGTGATCCGGACATACAACTCACCCATCATCTGCTCATTGTTCATGCCGTGAAAAATTATTACGTGAGTGTGTTACTTTACGAAGGAAAAGTGCATTTTTTTAAAACAATTTTATGTATATATTTTTTTTTTTTGTTTAATTCTTGATATCAAAAATATGCTCTACAAGTTTGAATATCTCATCTAATACTCTATCGATTTGAATTTCAGCACATTCCCATCTTGTATGCGATATCAGCAATAAAAACACAAGCGATTTATGCTGTTATCTTTGCCTATGTTCGAGGTAACTTATATTGAATTTGAACAACATGCGCTTCTGAAAGGTTCCCAAGAAGTTGAAGAATTTTTTTTCTGATTTCCAGAAAGTTTGTCCACGTACATCACTCCTAATACGATTATGAGCGATTTCGATCCAGAAACGCAATTGGCACTTGCCTACACATTTCCCGATGCATCCATTAAAGGTTTCTGGCATTACTACACCGATTCGATTCTGAAGTACATGAAATGCATTCGATTGCAATGGGACAAGGGCCGTAGTAATACGTCAAGCTGTTTACGAATGTTGATGGTGCTGCCATTGCTACCTGCGGAATACATGGTGCCTGGGCTGCAAGCGATTCGCAAATGGGCCCAAGAAAAATCGGTCATGAATTCATCGATTGAAAAATTATGCTCGTTTATTGAACACGATTGGCTACGTTCTGTTGGCGCCGATAAAATGTCTATTTTCGGTTTTCCGCATGGCGTTCACAATTATGTGCAACACTTCAATAACGAACTGAAGCAATCACTGCTCAACTCACAACAACAACAATCCATTTGGCATATTTTAGGTAAAATTTAGAAAAAATTACATATTTTCACTTCTTTTTTTAGGTTTTTAAACCTTCATTTTTTAAATTCTGTTTGTTCTTAAATTTGTCTTTGCTTCTGAATTGATATCCCGATTAATTTACTTACATTATCTGTTTTTTTTTTCAGAATGCATAACACATTTAGCCACCCGAACTTATTTAAAATGTAAAAAGCACCAAAATGCGACAGACATCAAACCGAATAAACACCAAACGGTGCTAGAGACAATCATAAAAAATGCCACGCAAATGTGGTGCTCTGATCCGATTCACCTGCGAAATCCATTGCAGTTTTTGCAATTGAGTAGTCATTGTATCAATGACGTTCACATGGAAGCATCCCAGGCGCAGTTGGGTGCCTCTTCGGAACATAAGTCAAATGCTGGAAATCATGATGATGACCGACATTTTAATCTATCAAAACAGAATTCAAATAGGAGAAACAAAACGTCTACGACAAAAGATGCTAAGAAAAATTACGTAGCGATTTCACATGACGATATGAATGCAACTCTGGTGGAAGATGTTTCAACAAAACCAATGTCGACTGTACCGCAATCTTTCGCAGTGAAAAGTGTCAATAGATCCGAGCCACCGCCACTGGCATTTTTCCCAAAAAATGGCAATATACGAAAACCAATCATTTTCTCGGCCACAGAACCACCACCACTAGTTCCGATTGCACGGAATTTTGCGTAAGGAACAAAAGATGAAAGTACAAAACCATACAAAATGCCAAGTGCAAACGAATTTTTATTCACGAAACATTTTAATTTTTGGACAAGGTCTCATTTTTTAAGTATTATTATTCTTCAACAGTATTTAAATATTTTAATTTCATTTTATTTGAAATCATATTAGATAAAGAATTTTTGAAGACGTTGCACTTGAGTTTAAGAAAGGCAATAAAAAATGGAAATTAATTTTATATTTAAAACTAATTTAGTGATCAGATTAAATAAAATAAAGAAAATTTAAAATAAAAATGGAATTTTATGGCGGCTCAGCATAGGGGTGTGGCAACGACCATAAAATGAGTGGTCGGGAATAAAAATGACTAGAGTTGAACCACTTATGGATAAGCGTAACACAATATTCTTGATTTTTAAACGTACAACATAAATTCTCTTCGCTTGAAAGTGAATCGTAAAATATCTGTGGACTATAGAAATCGTTTTTCACTTTAATTGAATCAAAAATGTTCGATACACTTTCAAGTCCATTGGTATGATGAATTAAGTGATAAGGAGCGCGAATTTTGATGTGCCGATAACACCATTGGATTGGGCACATGAAATACTGTCTGAGAATCGAAAAAAAAAACTGTAGTCTAAAATTGACGCTGAAATAGAATCCCAAATCATTGAGAAAAGTTCAACAATTCCAAACCGTAACTTCTCCGATCCCGAAATTCAAGCTGAATATCATTTATATTATGGTTCTAAATTTGTTTCTCTTGGTGAAGAAATGGAATAAAACACTACTTCGTGATATTTTCACATTTAGTTTTCTTGAACATCGAACAACAGGGAAAAAAATGGCGCATGAAATGAATTTCTCGCCTGATTTAAAGCAAAAATAGTCAAAATACATGAATATGATGATTCAAGTAAAAATTCAAGCTTTTCTGCTACACCCTTGAATGAACGCACAGGATTTTTGTTGTCATGGATTTTAAAGTCAGGGGAGAAATTGATAAAAATGAAAAAAAAAAAAATTCTATTTATGGATTACAACGTACTTACTTACTCTCGTAACGGAGTAATTGGAGTAAAAACAACTGGCCTGTCAAGCACTATAGCAATTATGTCGATAACTTTACCGTTCTTTTTTGAAACCATGGGCTCACCACGAGCACCGGTTCTGATATTTTATTTTTCATTTTTCCTTTCCATTTGAATTTTTTGCAAAATCATTCATCGAACTTTTTCGCCATCAATTTCAAATTTATTCCGTAAATTCGATCTGCGTTAAACAAAAAAAAATAAAAACAAAATATGAATAATGTTTACTAAAACGGTTTTATTCAAGACACGAAAAATCATTAATTGCATAAAAATTGAAAACAAATTGACGGATTGAATTTTTTTTCTTCAAGTACTTGATCGCAAGCGAAAAGAGTCAAAATCAGAATGAATGGTTCTTTTAGAATCCTTTTTCGCAATTGAAAATTTCATCTCACCGACAGAAAGTAAATAAACACAGCCGTCAACCGAATCATTCAAACGAAGTCAATCGATTTGACATTTAGCACATGTGCATGACAAGTGCTCGGTAGATATTGAAATCATTAGCTGTCAAATACTCAGAATTGAGGTTATGCGAGTTTTTGTTTAGTTTGTTCACGGAGAACCAAAAAAAATCGCTCTCCTTTTGGTGTTTTCGCTGTGCTTGTGAACCAAAATTGGTTTGCTGTGTTTTGAATTGAATTGAATAAAAGAGTTAAATCATCAAATTGAATTGGATAAAAAATGTTTAAATCATTAATATCGCCGGTGTTGCAGAATGTGACTGCCCGCGGCTTCAGCACAAAGCCTCTGATACTGCCGGTGATAAATAAGCATTTGGATCAAACAAATCAGGTGGCGCGCCAAGTGTGGATTGAAAATATGGACACAACGAATGTGCAGCGAAAAGGTCTGATGGAATTGCATCCGGATGTGTTTGCTGCACCGCCTCGTATCGATATCATCCACCGGAATGTTATATGGCAGCAAAAGTATAAATATGTTAGTTTCGCCTGGGCCAAAACACGGGCCGAGAAACGGGGTGGTGGCCGAAAGCCATGGCCACAAAAAGGACAAGGCAGAGCCCGTCACGGTTCAATTCGTTCGCCAATCTTTGTGAACGGTGGTGTGGTGCATGGTCCAAGAAATCCAACCACACATTATTACATGTTACCGTACTGGGTGCGATTGGCTGGCTTGACATCGACACTCTCCGCCAAATTGGCACAAGATGATCTTCACATTGTTGACGATTTGGAAATACCAACTGAGGATCCAGAGTACATTCAAAATCTATTGAGCGAACGCAAATGGGGACCATCAGCGCTGTTTATCAACTACGAAGACATTGTACCAAGAAATATTGCAGTTGCAACAGATCAAATTGGTTATATAAACATTATGCCTGCCTATGGTCTCAATGTTTTTTCAATGCTTAAACATACAACGCTCATACTGACAACAAAGGCGGTCGCACACATCCAAGAACGAATTTTACATTGTAAAAATCTACAAGATTCATCCACAATTACGAAATAAGAAAGGCGAGCGGAATTTAGTTACGTTACATGTACATTTATTGAGAACGAATAAAATTTTACTTTTAAATAATTATCGGAAATGGGCCGCAGATCTTTTCAATATTTAAAAATCATTTTTCATTTTAGTGTTTTTCAAACGTAATCTTCATTAGTATCGTTTCAGAGAAATGAAATTTAAAATTCAGAAAATGAGTTTGTTGATATTTTCGGTCCAATTTGGATGTGAAATGACGATTTTGCAATGGGTCAAGTCGAGAGATGAACACTAAATTTGATTGAAATTACGGCATGTGTGACTTCTTCCATTGACAATGTGACCTTTTGATATTTTCAATTAACTTAATTAAACAATTTGGCACTTCCAAATGAATTAAAACGAATTTTCGTCGCTTAAAACTGCTAGTCGTTCGTTTCCATTCGGATTTGGATTCATTAATTTCAATTTCAATTTCAATCTAGATATTGATTTAACAATTTCAACCGTTGAATCGTCAATAATTGAATTTACCCATTACGAAGCAAAAACGAAAAATGTCCAAACGAAATTTTCTTTGGGGGTGAGCAATTCATCGTTGTTTTGATTGTCAGAAAGCTGTCAAATCGGTGGTTCATTGCTGTGGAATGAATTTCTCTCTGTATCTCTCCTTCTCTCCCTTTCTCTCTGTCACGCGTTCGTTCGCTTATTCTCTCTATCTCTCATTTTAATCCTCCAGCAATTCATTCGGAACGCTGCCTCTCTCACAAACATAGTCGTTCATAAAACCACAATACTCTCAACATGGAGAAGCTAGCTCACACAAAAAACGGTATGATGTAATACGGTTTGTTGTTATGCGTGTCTGTGTTGTGTTGTGCATGTGGTCTTATTCTTTTCCTTTCAAAATTCGGTACGATTGAATCCGTGTGCAAAGAGGGGAAACAAAACGGCACATATACACACATACACCACTACATGGCAACATTGTTTGAAATGGCTTCGTACACGAACTAATTGTCAGCGCTCCAAGTTCGATTTGATTTCGATCGGACGGTCGGCAATCAAATGAAACAGTCCGTAAGCGTGTGTACTGAATCTTTTCGTTTTTAATTTTCGTTCGTAATTTTATTTGATTAAATGGCAAGCCTTAAATTGAATGCCATTTTCTCATTTCAATTTAAGTTCGGTCGATATTTGAGGCCGCAATAGAAGAAAAACCGAGTGTATATGTGCTCATTTATAACAGTTTTAGCAAATTTGATGGAGATTCATCCTTTTCTTTCCATTGTATAGCCGTTTGTTTATGTTGTTGAAACGAAAAATTAAACAGTAGTTGCCGGTGCAAGCAGCTTTAGACCATTAATATGTTCGTAAATTTAACTATCATTCTAAATAGTTGATCAGTTTTTTTTTCCATGTTTTTGCAATAAATAAAAACGAACAGTAAAAAAACGTCCAGTGATTAAATCAGAACAATTACCGAACTTAATATCAATTTTGTTGCTGTTGACTCTGTGCTAAAGAAACAGAGAGATAGATTGATGTGTGTGTGTGTGTGTGTGTGTGTGTATGATAATGCTGCTCCATATAAATATGTGTATGTTTTGTTTATTTGGACAGTGCACACGAGAGTTCTTCCATCGGTCGAACGGACGGTTGGTCGATCTATGAAGAGCAATGAGAAAAAAAACCTATACTGGAGAAAATCGTTTTTGTTCTGAATGAAATTCATCGCGGGTCGAATGAACCAAGCCCGCCATATTGAGCGTGTATTTGAGATTTTTCCACATTCACTCTCCCTGCTTCTCTCACAATTTGCTCATGGGCTCTTGCTCTCACTCTCGCTCTTGTTTAGTGTGCGTATGCGTGCATGAAATTCGTTGGCGATGACATTTAATGCATTACCATCGAATCAAACCAAATTTAAAAACGAAAAACACACAGAGAGATTTCATATTCAATTAGCTAGTATTGTGAGGTAGTTAGGTATTTATTTTTTTTTCTATTGGTGCCATATAACAAGTAAGTGTTTGTGACAAGAAAGAAATAAAACAATATTCAGTGATGCCAAAATATTTTCTCCAATGGATGTTTCTAAAATCACTTTTTGTGTGCATGACCGCCCCAAAAATGGTGTCTTCGTTCAAATTAGAAATAAAGAAGAAGCACACAAACAAACGTGATTCGTTCAACAAAGACTTCTTTGTTATGCATTGCTCAACAAATATTCATGGTTGTAGTTTGACGTTATGCCCTCATTTATTTCCACTTCGAACGAATGCCATTTTTTCTATAGAATGAGGGTCGAAACAGCTAAAACCGCGGTTCCAATTCAGCCTAAACAGAAGAGAAATAAAAGAAACTCGAATAACGAAAATTGCCCGGATGGATCGTACTGTTGTTTTTTGTCTATATTTCTTTTCGTTTGAATTTTGTACTTCAAATTAAAAATGAAAATGAACAACGATGACGACGATGACGATGACGATGACGATGACGACGACAGTGGCAACGGCCAACGAAAGAAAAAACAGACCATCAACGACCAAACTTAATGAGAATTGGTCAAAACTGTTATCAAACGGAATTTATTTCACAAACGTAGCTCAAATTGTATACTTTCAGGCGAAAATTTGTCGCATCACTCAATTGTTGAAATTGAAATTCGCTTCATCTTTGGCAAAATTCCATTCGGTGACCAACGACGATGATATTCGAAAAAAAAAGCTCATTAATGTGAACGAAATGTGTTGCAGAATTGGAAAAGAAAAAACGAAAGAAGTTCTCCACGGTTATCGTCAGGAAATGTGTGATTGATACACATGTTAAGTGGAAAATGTTGCGGCCTCGTGTCTGTTCCACCCTGTAGCGCTGTCTTTATTGTTCACTCTGTCAACTCTCTTAGGCCGTGTTGTTCGCTCGTGTGAACTTTACATAGACACAGACGTAAGCGCGCACATTGGCAAACAGCACACTGTACGTAATCAAATCGTCACACATGGCACAAGGAAGTGGTTTTATGTGTTGTGCTGTGCTGCATATATCGCATGGGGTTGGAAAAGCACGAAGCAACGAGTGTGGCACGTGTATGTAATATATTCGTTGTTCGTCATCATTTCGCTAACTTCACACAAGAGTCCAAGAGAGAGTGTGCTATCGGAATTCGATTTTCATGGCATATACGACAATACAAACGTTGTCAAAAGCTAGTTTCGATTTGGTCGTTTTCGCCGTCGTCGTGGTCGTCGTCATCGTCAACAACGTCGCCTACATGTAAATTGGGTTCCAATTATACAGAACTCTTGCTGGGCTTACTTCCAGCTCTTCTCCTGTCTGTCTCTCCTGTGTGTGCATGTATTTGTGTGTCTCGAAAGTCCAGAATATTCAATACAACCACTTTCTAATCGAATTTTTGTTTTGTAAAGTTTTCCACCCCGTAAAGAAAATGTGAACATGTGATTTTGACTAGTTCGTTTTTTTTGCTTCTTTTCCTCACCGTTTACAGTTGCTGATAGATTGTACTTGTGGCGCCAAATGAACTCAACCAAACATTAGGGAAAAAAAAGGAACGAAACAGAAGGAACGAGAGCGAGGGAGAATAAAAACGTGTTTAAATTGTACAATGAAAGAACTCAGATTTAAAGTGCACACAATTTATTCGGGCCAATTTAATTAGAGCACACGCGATTAAAAATTCAATTAAATCCAGTGGAACAACAAAAATTATATATTCTCCTCTCTATCGCTGGCGCAGAAAAAAAAACACAAATTTTCATAATAACAAGAAGAAGAAGTTTACGTTGAAGATTTTCGACAAAAGTTAAATGGGTTATCCAAGCGGAAAATTCAAAGAACCGGAAAACAAATTGCTCAATCCCATAAAAATGGATGTCTAAAGTGGTTTTTGGTGCTGGTGGAGATATTCAAATCACACGTGCGAGCTCTTACAATCGCGACAACAAATACGTCCACTCGCCACCCAGCCAACCAAAACAACAACTCGAGCCAACCCCCGCGTTAGTTCTTCTTTTCTATTAAATTCTCGGTTAGTTCATATTTATTTGTTCAAAACTGCATTCGGCGTTGTTTGATTTGTGTCGCATCGCAAAAGCAACACTTTTTTAAAACACAAAACACAACAAATTCACTCAATATGGGAGCAACACCAAGTCATGAGGATGATGGAGATGACGTCGCTGGAACGGAAGACTCCGATGACGATGACGATATCATCAAAATTCAACATCGAGCCAGATTTCGGGTGAGTACAGTTTTGATACAGAATTTTTGGCACATACAGTGTAGCAAATTTTGATGGTGGCGTACAAGCATGTTGTACAGAGAACGTGAAAAACGATTAGTCTTCTAATCTTATTGGATTGAAGACAAAAAAAAAGGGAAACATTAAATTGGAATATTAATTAAAACGAAAGTCATTTGAACTTTTCGTATAATTTTGAACGCGACAATAAAATCTCGGCTTGTCAATGGAAGCATCGATTAAAAAACCTTCCGACAATGTGTCGAAAACTTGGTCGAATATCAAAAGTGCTAAAATGTTGAACAATTTGGTTCAAAATTGCCACACGCGCATTTTTATCGATGCTACCAATAAATTAAGCAGTTTTATCTGCAATCGCAATCGTCGAAATACCAAAACCGTTTTTGATTCCATTTCATTTCTACTTCGCAAAGAATTATTTCAATGTACTTCAAATATTATTGCAGTTCAAACCATCGCGCCACTTGTTAACGTCTAAACGTGAATACTTGTGCCAGTTAGAAAAGGCTGCAAATCGAACGCTATGCATATGCATTCTTCTTTCACCAACGAATTCATTTGCTGAACACCGTCTCAATCGCACTTTTACCTTTTAACTTGTCTAATTTTGGCTTCGATTCACATGCACATATACTGACTATTTGTTTTATATGACGACTAAAATTTGGATTGGGTGCAGTGAATCGATATTTTTAATGTATGGAGGGATGAAAATATTCTGCATTCGGTTTCATTTGCAGGAGAAAAACATAATCGAAGCAAACAAAAAATGAATAAGCTAGTCGACCCGTTGTTATTTGAGCTGCTAGTCAAAGTGAATCATTATCCGCTTTATTTAGGGCAAGAGCATAAACATATTAGTGACACCGATTAACGTACGCTGCACTTCCGTTCTACCACCACTCCACCGTCCCAGTCACAGCTCCACTCTCTTTCGTGTGCAACATTTTTTCCATGGTACAGACAATGGATAGAAACATACAAAAGCATACATACACGATGATAGTGCGCTTTCTTTTTACCACGCCACTTAGTCGCAGTTTGCAAATGGGAAAGGAAAACAAAAGGAGTTCAGCACCGACAGACAATTTGAAGAACAAACACATTACCCTGTCGTTGGTTTTTTCTTCTGTGTCTTTCTTCTTCGATTGTCTTCAGCTACGGAAACTCGACGGATGAATTTCATCGAACAACAACAGTTACATCAATGCGACCACAGAAAATGATTGTCAACAATATATACCGGTCGACCGTAAAAATGGCACAAGTAATTATTCACATTTTAAATTGGAATATTTCCTCTGCGAACCGTTTTCTCTATTTTATTTTCCTGGACAATATTCCATCCTAGTCTTTTCATTTCTGACATTTCCTTTTTCATTCTGCATGATTCAACGCGTTGAGAGACGCATTTAAGCGAAATGCGCTCTATCCGCTCGCTAAATTCACGGAATATTCATCGTCATTTACGGCTCGAAATTCTTCACTTTCGTTTTTTGAACACCTCTTTGATTGACACATGAAACAGGATATCTCTCTAAAATGTATACACTTTGTTTTTGTCAGCAAATTTTAGAACGTAATAAGTGAGTTTTTCTTCAATTTCAAAGGATCAAAGGTATTGCATATATTACGTTCTGAATATTATTTTTTTGGTTTCTCGATCGTAAAAACTAATTGTCTTCATTTACATTGACCTTGTTCCAATTTTCATTTTCAAAGTGATTTCGGCAAGAACCAAAACTGAATCATGATTCTGATTTACGTTGAAATTAACGTTTGAAATTGAAACTAAAATACACAACAAAACAGCTGGGTGAATGCCTTGTGATTCAGCAAAGGAAAGGCGTAAAATAACGGCTTTATTTTGATTAAAAAAAAAAAAAAAAAAAAAAAAAACAAACAAAACATTCATCATTCGCAGTCGACAAATGAGTCGGCAAAACCTATGCAAAATTCATTGTGAGTGTATTTGCGTGCAAAAAGCCGTGCTGCAATGTCGCTCTCTCGTTCGCTCGATCACATCGCTTTTCATGCACCGGACAAAGAAAGTCAAGTGATCGAGCCAAATATTCACAGTCAATTAGCCGTAAATGAGCGAAAGAGATGAAATGAAAATAACGCAACTCATATGCCAGACACATTTACTCCAACTGTGAGACGGCTTTTTTTTATATATTTCAATACGTTCCGTTGTGTATATAAAAAAACGCCTGGCCGTAGCACTTCAAATCATCCGATCAGAACGAAAGTGACGTACAATTCCGAAACACCTTTTGAGTATACGGCGGATTCTCGAAGCGTAGGTATCACACAAAGAAACTGTGTGATCGTTTGAAAAGGATTTTTGTTTTGTTTTTTCGTATCTTGTGCGAAAAATTGACAATTGAAAATTGTCTTGAAATTTCGATATGCGGAAATATCGTGCAACTTTTCATTGCAATGCATGAGTTAATGCGAAAGACTGAATTACGGTGCACTTTTGCGTTGAGAGTTTCAAATGATATATGTTCTTTTTTTTTAAATGTGTAACAAATTGATCTTCGCGCTCTCGAACCGATATTATCCGCATCAACTTTCAGTTTTTCATCGCATTTTCTGGCGAACAAATCACAGTGTCGGTGTCGGTGTTCAATTTAATTCGCCACATAATTTATTTACCATCATTTATCAAGTGTAAATTCGTAAGAAGTAAAACTTCTTAAATAAAGTTAAGAAATATACAGTTGCTAAAATCAGATAAAATAACGTGTCGAAACCAGAGATCGATCCGTGCTGCATTTCGACACATTTTATATCACAGACCATTTTAAACGTTCGCATAGCACGTAAACCACATTAGAATCCATAACATATTGCAGCTGAAACGTGCAACCATTGAAGTCGTTCGTGTAATTTTGAACGAAGCGTCATCGAATTCACTTTTTGTTCACAAAAGTCGATCTTTTTTTTGTTGTGATCAAAAACTCGCTGAAGAAATAAATTTATTGAATCATTTCAATTCGCTTTGTGATTATAAACGCTGAACAAGTATTGTTCGAAAAGAATATTTGATTTCCAGTTTAAATACCGTATTTTAATCCATGCAAAATATATATATATATAACATATATTATATAAAATGTAATTATAAGAGGTGATGTAAGAGGTAAACCTCCAAATCCCAACCATCTCGCCATAGCTGAGCCACTGTTCATTAGTCCTTACTTGATTCACATCATTTTAGAATAAAAAACGTCTTCATTGGGATCGCTTCAAAATAATCGAAGACGAGACATTGCCGTGTTGTTCTGTTTTGGATATATTTTGATCGTAATTATCGGTCAATGAATTGACCTCGTGCATTTCGAAGTAGACTTTGGTTTGTTGAGGGTGCTTTTGAAAGCTGTTTATTGATCAACAATAACAACAATGACTGTGTGAATCAAAACTTGTACTGAATGAACAGTCGGCGTCGTGATGTGTTTTGTTTATATAAAAACGAAGAGAAACATATGATTGAACTGAGTGCAGTTCCATCATAAGTGCCATCGAAATATTCAATATTCATTTGCGCGTCGTTCACTCTCTCTCTCCCCTCTCTCGTTCTCTCTTTTTTCTCGTAATCAACGTGATTGACTGCCCATAATTTATCGATGATATATTTTAATTGTGAACCAGGCGTCCAATTGGTAGTAAACAACATGATCAAAACCGGAATATGTCTCACTTTAAATGATTGTTTTGTCGAGTTTATTTGTTTTCAAATTCCCATCAAAATAAGGATTCTCAGACCAAAAACTAAATCATGAAAAATGATTGGGAATTTTCCTTTAGTTTCTGTTGTATGAAAATGAGGCGCGTGTACTGTACACACACGCAATCCCGTAAAAACAAAATCAAACAAAAACAAAAAAACAGCCGTCACACGGAATAAACAGATGTTGATAAATAGTGAAGTGTGTGTGTGTGTTGGAATTTACATCTCGCGCTAGTCGCGTTCCGTGATTTCCGTGTATTTGTGTGAATAGCCGAGTGTGTGTTAGTAAGCATGTTACGGCGGCACAAAGAGTTTTGTTGTGATTTTGTAGACTGAAGAGTGCGCAAATGTTTCATAGTCGTTAGCGCAAGCAAAACGCCAGTCATACTTGTCATTTGGTCGTCGACGCAATGTCATCGCGTTTAACGTTTGCTCAAACGTCTAATGCAAGCAAATATATACACGCATCCATCTAATGTAAACGCACAAATGAAAAGTTTTATTTTTTTTTTTCTTCAAATTGTTAAATCGTTTCGCAGAAAACTATCAACTGTACTTTCCACAGAAATATTGTTTTTGTTTTATGTGATAAATAAAAAAACAAACAAACAAATATTCTGTAATCGAATCTAATTACGGAAATGTGTTGACGAATTGATCGTGTGCGATCAAAACAATAGAACGGATTGATTTGAGTGTGCCGAATTAATGAAATAGAAGAATGCGAACAATTCACTCAATTTAAAAATTACGTAAACGGTGATAATGAAATAACAAAATGTATTGTACTTTCGATCGAAGCGATCGGGTTGCTTTGCATTGACGCTGTGCCAGTATTTCAAATCAAGCGTTTAAGCAATGAAAAATGTCATGCCCAGTGTAATCAAGCGTTTGCTTGACTTTTGTAAATGAAGCGACAAAACCGTGTTCTGCATCAAATGACAGTTTTGATGAATTTCATTTTTTTTTTATCTTCTGTCTGCTTCCATTTGATTTACGACAAAAGTGGAAAATTAAACCGGCCTAGAATTACAGTGCACACAATGCGTACTGCTGACCGTGATACAAACACACATAATTCATTCCAACTACACAATTTACAATGCAAATTCCGAAAAAAAGTGAATTACACTTTTTTCAAGTAGAAGAGAAGAAGAAAAAAAATATAGCCGCAGCACCGATACTGAACAAACAGGCACACTGTTGCCATTTTTTGAAACTCAATTCTAAGCCGATGATACACATAGACAGAGAATAAACTCGGTTCTCAAACCAAAAGAAAGAGAGAGAGTGTGAGTGAGCAAGCGAACGATAGATAGACAAGACGCAAGTACCCGTACCTGTGTAACACACTGCTGTTTTGGCATTTAGCCGCTTGGCTGTGTGAATGTATTCGGACCTTTATAGTGTTCCGATTGTAAGTCGTGATCTGTGTAAATGCGTTTTCAATGCGCGACAATTCTCTGTCGCTCAACGCGTTCGAATCGCTTGCAGTCGATAAATTTTTAGATGCGCCAGACTGACAACCTATCCGGCAACATCTACATTCGTTCCGATTCAGTTTTGTTCACACCAAACTGGAAATAATTGATTTAATCAATCAATTTCACTCACAAACTACCCGATTATAGCCATAGATGGCGATTTTTCCGATATATTTACAGACAGTCGTATTTGCGACCGTGACGAATCGACAACCTAAAGATATTGAAACGGTACCGAATGTAAACAAGTCCGGCCGTACGCGATCCGCAAAGTGATTCACAGTGACTTTTACACGCGTGCGCCGCTCTCACAGTTTATTACGGTACGTGATTTGATCAAAATGTATTTATAAAAATTCGATCTGTGATTCAATTGTGTGTTGCGCTGCTGCTGCTTCTGTTGCTGCTGCCTTCTATTTCTTTTCCCTTTTTTCGTTTTGTGTCAGTCTGAGTTGAGTTAAACGAGACAGAAGCGATTTTTGTAGCCTTTTTTTTCACCGTAAATCGTAAATTTTATTCGGGTTTGTGTTTGCCGTTCGATAATAATTGTGTGTTCTATCGAAAAACTTTAGTCTTATTCACACGTTTAATAGATGTGACTATAAATATATATATATAGTTTTTGTTTTGCGACGGTGCGCGATATTCACGACATAGATAAGTGGAGTTCGTTATTTTGTGTGTGCTGCTATTGTTGTGTGCCGTGTGTGGTATTCGATGCAAAATCAAGCGAGTTGAACGCACTTGCGTTCATCATACGCACGTGCGACATATTCCCTATATTTCATTGTTTGTAAAAATATATAGGACTGCGTTTTTACTTCCAAGTAAATTTTTGTTCGTTCTAAGGTTTTTTTCTTCCTTTGTCGTCTTGTAAATGTTCGGCTGGTATCGCGCGTCTTGTGTAAACCCAAGAGAAATACACTCTTTTTTCCTCTCCCTCTCACTCTCGCTATCGCTTTCTACTTGGTACGTAAATAAATTTCGGTTCGGTTTTGTGTTTATACTGTTGTGAATCGAAGTGTTTGTTTGTTTTACCAAACTGGATAACTGTGAACTGTTTGCATTTGGTTGCGTCTCGTAAATCCATTGCGAGCACGGGATGCAAACATCTGGAAGTGATTAGTCAAAATCAAGGTGATTTTTGAGATTCTCAAGTCAATGTTCAAAGCGAATATTTTGTATTCCTGCTCACCCACATTCTTCCCTATGTCGAATGCATACACGGTAGCTATTTCTATCGTCGTATCGAGCAAGTCGATCGGCAAGCAAAGTCCACTAGTACCGATGTGTAAGTTCTATTTGTAACATTTTCTCTCTTGCATTAGATAAGAGAGAACTTTGTGTTTGACAAAATATCGAAAAGTCAACAGTTCAATTTAGTTATTCGATAAAACACACAGTGCTTACAACCGACCAAAGAGCACCTAGTGAAGCTGTTGCTGTCGCTGTCACTGCCGCTACCTCTGTTGTTGTTGCCGTTGTAATAGGATGCTAAACGAGTTTACGATGAAACACAGATAGATTCTCATCTTGTCGATTGCTTGATTGGCAAAACTTTAATGGACTCTAATTCCATTATTATGCTCGATACTGAATCGAATAAAATATGCAAACGGCCGGATGCTGATAGTGTGTTTGCATTTATCACATGAAATTTTTTTGCGAAAAAAGACACGAAAAAAACAACAACAACTCTTTTCAATCAGTTGAATAACGTGATTACAATCGAGTCAATTGAATTGTGCATAGTGAATGAGCGGCTCTTTCGAGCGCTCTCAATTTAGCATCGAGTGATCGAACTCACGCGAGCTCCCGCGCACGCTCATATTTGTCTATGACAATCGGCGAGAGAAACAATGATTTCAACAAGGAAATGTGTCTAAAGATAGAGTGAAGCATCTAGACATCGAGACAAAAATCAAAACTAATTATTATTTTTGTCGTATTCATTTGAATTGCTTTCGTTTTGTTTTTGTTTTGCTGTCCATTTTCATTATCTGTCTTTCAAGCGCTCATTCATTCAATTGTTAGTGTGAGCACATGTGATCGTTGACCGTGGCATTAGAAGGTTTAGTATTTCGGTTTGAAATGAATCGCGTACAAAATGTATTTTGGTCACCACACGGATACCCCTTGTGTTCAATTTATATATGCGTTACATTGTAAAGCCAAATATATCGCTGATATGTTCGCGTTCATTGTATTCGGAAAATGAATTCGTACAGAACTGTGTACGATGAATTGCTTACATTTTATGCAGAGCTTGCGTCCCTACTCTTTCGCACACTTTCGTTCTCTCCCTCTTGCAACTGCTCCGTTCTATCCATTTCTCTCAGCAGGTTTTATACGTTTATACGTAGCTGAATTTGAGCGTTTGGCAAAATGTCGAATATTTTCGCTTCGTTTGTTCGATCGTTTTGATTCATTTCGCGTGAGATGCCTTCAAGACTTTTGACAATAAGTCAAAAATGCAAATAGCATGCATTCCCTGTGAAACATTTCATTCCGTCGACAACGGTACGTGCTGTTTTATGCAACAACATTGATCAGATGTTTCAATGTTGTGTGAATACTTTTCCGCTGACAAACTGATTGACACATATTCAATTCTGGCAAATATGCGAAATGACAGCAGCGATTCATCCAATTTTAATTATTCGATCAAATTTAATGTTGACACCAACAAGTCTACCCTTTCCTTTCTTTTTCAAAATGTAATATTTAATACCATACCATATTGTTCAACTATGTTATTCTAGTCTTTTCATTGATTTCTGTAGCTCATATCTCACATTGTCCAGCTGTTAAATCCTAACGCCCGAAGAGTATAGTCATTCCGAAGCTCGGTAATTGCATTCAATATCTATGCATCAGATGGAACAATACTATCATTTTGTACGGCTGAATACAGTTTAAGAAAATGAGCATCAATTTATGGTGTGCGAAAGACAGAGACCGAGACCGAGAACACGTTAAATATTTGATTATATCAGCTGTTGCACTTTGTGGCAATGCCATGCACAAAATTCAATACACATCTCATGTGAATGGATTTTCTAGTGAATGCACTCGAATTTGTCAATGACATGAAAATCCGTTTGATCTTTACCACACCAAGAGCAAAAGACTGAGCGTATCTGTGTGCAAAAGAGATAGAAATAGAGCCATGGTATACGGAGTGAATGGTGTAAAGCTTCATAATTATAGCTTTTAATGCTCCATACAACTGTCAATCAATGTATCCATAAAGCGATACTCTCTGTCCACAATCTTTACGAAGAGTTTTCCACAATTTCGCAAAATGGAAGAGGTTGAATTGAGTGCATGCATTCGACATAATACTCTGAAATCGGTGTTTAAATGGAAAAGCGCCAACATATGGATGAACAACATGGTTTTACGACCATTTTTTAATGGCCTGTGATAATAAAAACATGTGCGTCGAGACTAAATTTTGAAACTATCCAAATGACAAATACGTCTTTGAAATTGTTACTGATGTACTGAATTGATAGGGTCGAATGTTCTTCGAGATGAAGATAGTTCATCTAGTGACATCACAATCTGGTTTCATCGATAAAAAAAAAATATGAACTCGAAATCGTATCGACACTTGAACACCAACGAACTTTGACCATTGAATTTTCACGCGATTGTTTTTTTTTTCTGAATGACTCATGACATTTGAATCGAACTCTTTGTTTTCTGCATTCGAATGTGAGAAGCGCACAGCGGCGATGGCATCACATATTCTTATTCACCAACAATGGAAATCAACATCAGAACATTACATTTTAAGTGCTCGAAAATTTAATTTCATCTTGAATAATTTCGCGTCTAACCTTTCAAACGTCAATTTCCATTGGACCAGATGTGAGGGGAAGAAGATGAAAAAAAAAAAACTGTTCTTCTTAATCATTCATGACATTTGTTGAAAACATTTCTGCTCATATCGTTTGACTGAAAACTATTCCACTGTGTAGAACAAAAAAGATTCCACCGTATTGTTGAGAGCGAGTGGATTTTTTTTTCGAATGCAATTGGTGCTAATCGCTGGTTAATCAATGTTCGAATTGCCATCTAAATTAGTCAATCATCAAATCAATTACATACGAACTGTATCACAACAATGTGTTTGCAATGGTGTATATGATTTCGCACGCGCCTTTGATTATTATAGGAAGAGCACTCGCGTCCAAAATGATACACACGTTCAGTTTGTTCAACAAATAAACATCCGAAATGACGGTGACAATAGCCACGCAAACAAATAGAACAAATTGTTTGAACATCTTTTAGCGCATCACAGAGAGTGCGAGAGAGAGAGAGAGAGCGAGAGATTCAATTAATATATGTAACATATTCAAAACCAGACATTGATCGGTATTTTTAGCTGACGATACAAGAAATATATATAAAAAAAAGGCAATTGACATTTTTAGTGCGAAGTGATTTATTTTTAAAACGTCAACACATCACAAAGATAACCTCGCAAAACATGGAACTATAAAATTAGTACTAATTTGCGAAAGAAAAACATTTCAAAAATAATAATTTGTCAGCTGATTATCACGCCACCCGTGGGCATGCCCGTGTGGACTTGTTGAATGTTCTTTTAATCAATCAACCACCGAAAATACAAATAAAATCGTGTGCACAATTGCAAAACACAAATGAATTTCGCTGGCGAAAACGATGACTTAACGGACGGGGAGCTTTAAAGCCGAATCGATTACATAATTTTGGTGATGTTCGCTAGATGATAAACCAAAAAAAAAAAAAAAAATAACAACAACAAAACAAGTGAAAGTTCATTGAAAATTGACTCTATTTGAAGTAGTGAGAGAACGAGAAATAAATAAATAATAAATTAAAACAAATAAACTCGCGCATCAAACATGTCACAATCGACATCCGGTGGCTATCAACAGAATCAAAGTGGCAATCGTCCGCTATCGCGACGACTTCGTAAAATCAGCCGGGTAAGTTATTGACAAAAAAAAGTCGGTTATTACGTTATAAACCATGATCTATGACTCACTGTTTCAAAATTATTTGTCAAGTTTTCAATCAACTTAAGTTCAAATTTCAGCGTCGATTAACTCAAATTCTAAAGTAAAACTCAACAAAACTTTAATCTAGCGACCAATCAAACGAAGAAATTTAAAATGGATTACATCGAAAACGATTGAAAACATTAACCAGGAGGAGATATAGAGAATCAGTAAAAGTCATTTCAAACTCGAAATTGATCAAATGTGTTTGCCAATCACAATGGAAAGAACACAATTATCGAGCGAATAAAATATAAATAATAATTTCTAGTTCAAATGAAGTTGAATGGAAGTGAGAAATGGCTGGTTTTTTCTTCCTCCAAAAAACCATGTCTCCTTCTACCAATTCCGAATCTGGCCTCGAACGAGAACCAGAGATTTGGTATTCGCCATCCCAATATTGCAAGCAATACTGAGACAGCTGACCGGCACATGATTTTATCATCGCCTCTTGACTGGGAGTACAAGTACACGGACTTGCACAACCAGCGGTCAATAGTATAGCGTTTTGGAAACGCTATATACTCAAATCGGTAGATTCAAGATTTAGCGAATCGTAAGCACCGACCAAAATGAAAAATTTCGTCGGCCGACCATTCACACTGTGCAATACGAGTGACTATCTGTAGCATCGCTGAGTCTTTCTCTCTTGCTCACTCGTAAAAGAGTGATCAACATGTACATGCACAGTGGCAACGATTGACACAGTGTAAATGGACGGTCGACGAAATTTTTGATCTACTGCTGTATTCGTTACACAGTTTTCATATCGTCGCTGGTTGAACGTCAGAGTTGCATGAGAGAGAGAGAGAGAGAGAGAGAGAGAGAGAGAGAGAGAGAGAGAGAGCGAGGGAGTGAGAGAGAGAATGAAAGAAAGACTGTTTGAAATCAATATGCAGACGAAGAAAACCTTTTTTTTATATTGATTTCTGTATTTCTGTCACCCTCTCTTTCGCTCTTTCTCTCTTACGCAGTTCGGTTGACCGTGTTGGACACGCACACACACACAATGAACAAAACAAGAAACATCATGAATACCGAGCAACAGGATAATCAAACGGTTTTGACACTGCATCGATTAGACTGAGTTTGGACATTATCGATATCGTTTACAGAATTTGAATAGCAAGGAGAAAATTGTTTCGAAAGAAAAATCGGTAAAAATTAAGTGGGATTGAAAGTGTGTGTATGGGTGATTTCGCGTGAAACTTCTGTTCGTAGTTTCGTTTTGCCGAGAACTATACATAGTAAGTAATTCTTAAAACAATTGCGCGCCCGAATTTTTTTTCTTTTTCATTTGCATTTGGCACGAAAATTTAAGTCAAAGTGTTTGGTGTTTTCTTGATGAACTCTGATTGAAAATTCCAAAACGGCAGCAACGCTATTTCCATGCTTCATTTCATTAACAATCATTTTAACTGAAGAATAGTCGTCAACTTTACTCGTCTCTTTCAAACAGTCTTTCTTTCATTCTCTCTCTCACTCCCTCGCTCTCTC